ATAGCAGGGATTGTGGGGCTGGTGCGGGATCGGGCAGTGTTTCGTTCTGCTGTGCATGGGGTCGCTATGAGTCGGAAACGACTTGACGGCACTTAACAACAACAAAATTACACCAATTTCTGGTATTTCTCTGTATGTTTAAGTTTTTAATGTGGCTTAAAACAACAACAGACCAAAATAAAAAGTCAACGATCTGTTGACTCCTGGAATGATGTCATGACCTAGAGTTTTTGCATTTTTTAAAAATCTGATCATATTCTTTCCTAACAAACTAATAGAATAAGATCTTCTGAAAAATGTATGTTTAATTACCTTTCTGTTGTTCTCTATCCAGCATGGCCTAGGTCAGTTGAAAGAGCTAGAATTTAGGCTGCTGTGCTGAGGAGAATTAGGAGGCTTAGGAACAGGGAGGGAGTGCAGAAACGAAGAATGGAAACAAAGGGCAGCTGTCTGGCTCTTTACAAGATGGATTTCTAGACTGAAACTTCAATCTCAGTGTGAAGTGTTGGATATCTGGAGAAGAAAGATTAATCTTTATTAGAAATAGTTATAAAATTGAACATTAGGCCAAATGATTTTTTGTGTTAATATATTATTTCTCAGCAAGTAGTACTGCGGATTTCTTTATCAATAATCTCTATTTGCATATTTGTCATCTATAAATTTTGATTTGAGTTATGAGCCAGTAAGGACTTTGTTGTTATTGAGTGCCGTCAAGTTAGACCTGACTCATAGCGACCGCTCCTTGGATTTCCAAGGCTATATCACTACGGAAGTAGATTGCCCAACCTTCCTTCTGAGGAGTAAGGACTTCAGCTGGTTGAAAGAAATGGCCTACCCTAGTATTCCATTAAGAACATCTTTAATCATGAAAATCAAGTAATAAGAAAACAGCTTTTACTTCATGTAATAAGAAAACAGCTTTTACTTACTTATTTTAAAAATGTGTCGTGTATCTGATTCCTACTTTTCTCCATAAATGGACATAACAAATGAATATTATTTAAAACTATGCATATTATTGTTGGGTATGATTACTTATTCAATCTGTATGCTGAACAAATAATCCAAGAAGCTGGACTATATGAAGAAGAATGTGATATCAGGATTGAAGGAAGACTCATTACCAAACTGCAATATGCAGATGAGACACAACCATGCTTGTTGAAAGTGAAGAGGACTTGACACATTTACTGATGAAGATTAAAGACTACAGTCTGCAGTATGGATTACATCTCAACATAAAGAAGATGAAAATCCTCACCACTGGACCAATAAGCAGTATCATGATAAATGGAGAGAAGATTGAAGTTGTCAAAGATTTCATATTACTTGGTTCTACAATCAACACCAATGGAAACAGCAGTCAGGAAATCAGATGATGGATCTCACTGAGCAAAACTGCTGCAAAAGACCTCTTTAAAGTGCTGGAAAACAAAGTTATCTCTTTGAAGACTAAGGTGCTCCTAACACAAGCCATGGTATTTTCAGTTGCCTCATGTGCTTGTGAAAGCTGGACAATGAATAAGGAAGACTGAAGAAGAGTTGATGCTTTTGAGTGTGGTGTTGGCAAAGAATACTGAAAATGCCATTGACTGCCAAAAGAATGAGCAGATCTGTCACGGAGAAAGTGCAGCTGGAATGCTTCCTGGAAGTGAGAATGGCCAGACTTGGTCTCACCTACTTTGGCCATGTCTGAAGGCACTATTCGCTGGAGAAGGACATCATGCTTGATAAAGCTGAGGGTCATCAAAAAAGGGGAAGACCCTCAATGAGATAGACTGACACCGTGGGTACAGTGATGGGCTCAGGTATAGCAAGGACTGTGAGGCTGGTACAAAACCAAGCAGTATTTCATTCTGTTGTATATAGGGTTGCTATGAGTTGTAGTCAATGTGATGGCACCTAACAACAACAACAACGATTTGATTAAGTATGAGTTTATTATCTGAGATTTGGAATTGCTATATAAATTCTCAAGGATACAAGAAGTAGGACTATTGTTAAATATCTTTGTCTCCCAATGATTGAAATAATAGAGAATATTTTCTTGATTTTAGGTTTCCTCCTTCCTCACCCCTGAAGCCATATCCAAAGAAGCCCTCCTACCAAAAGGATGTTATTAAGTTTCCAGAATGGAATGATCTCCCCTCAGGCACATCACAAGAGAACATCCCAGTAAAGCCAATTGTTATGGTAAGTGCTATTGGCCAAAGACAGACCACAGGCAGGCAGCTGGGAGAAACAGTTTGTGAGTCACCAGACTAGGTCTCCTTTTCCGGCACTATGAGTTTCCTGAGGTTGCTGTAACAAATTACCATAGACTAAGTTTAAAACGATAGATATTTATTCTCTCACAGTCTAGGAGAACCTCCCCTTGCTTCTGGTGGCACTAGCAGTCCTTGGATTGTGCTTGTGGTAGCATAACTCCAATCTTGGTCGACATCTTCCCATGCCCATTCTCCTTCTGTGTCTCTTCTCTTCTTATAAGGACACCGCTCATTGGATTAGGACCATCAGTTATGGATTGAATTGTGCCCCCCAAAAGTATGTTGTAAATCCTAACCCCTATACCTGTGGTTAAGCACTCAACTGTGAACTGAAAGGCTGATTGGCAATTCAAATCACCAGCCGCTCTGTGGGAGAAAGATGTGGCAGTCTCTTTCCATGAAGACTATAACTTTGGAAACCCTATGAGACAGTCTACTCTGTTAGACAGTCTGTATGAGTCAAAATTGACTTGACAGCAGTGGTTTTTTTTTTTTTTTTTTTCCTATATAAATTCTCAAGGATAGAAGTAGGACTACTTTTATATCTGGATGTATTCCCATTTGGGAATTGGTTTTCTTTGTTACGTTAATGATGACATATCAGTGTAAGTGTGTCTTAAATCAATCACTTTGGAGAGATAAAAGGAGCAGATTAGGTACAGAAGTAAAGAAGCAAAGATGGGGCAACATAGATGGCATGCCACATGAAGATCACCAAGGAGCCCAAGAACAGAAGCTGAGAACAGACAAGGACCTTCCCCAGAACTGACGGCAAAAACCTTCCCTAGAGCCAGTGCCCTGACTTCTGACCTCCAACTGTGAGAAAGCATGTTTCTATTTGTTAAAGCCACCCACATGGGATATTTCTGTTATAGCAACACCAAGAAACTAAGACACTATCCTAATTCAGTATGACCTCATTTACATCTGCAAAGACCTTGTTTCCAAGTAAGGTCACATTCATAGGTACCAGGGATTAGGACTTCAACATATCTTTTTGTGGGGTACATTCAACCCTCAACACTGTCAGTCCCGTATGTAATAATAGTGATCTAAGAGTACTTCAGAATGGTATCATACAACTGAAAGACAGTAACAAGGAAAAAGAAAAAAATAAGTAGCTATGATATCAGCCAGAGAGAATTGCTGTTATTATGATTTTTGGTATGTATCTTTTTTCCCTGTGTATATTTTGACATAAAAATGAGATCACGGTGAACTATTTTGTAACCTACATTTTTTTTCCCCTTATAACAGTGTATTATGTCCATTCTTTTAGTTATTAAAAATTTGACATTTTTAATATTTCAGTATCACTGATGAAAGTGATATATGTTGTTTTATCTAGGCCCTTATTGTTAGATTTGTATGGTATTTCCAGTTTTTCAGTTTATAAACATTGGTATATTTTACACCTCAATATAAAGAAAACAAAAATCCTCATAACTGGTCTAATAAACAGCTTCACGATAAATGGAGAAAAGATAGAAATTGTCAAGGACTTTGTACTACTTGGTTCTACAATCAACACCAATGGAAGCAGCGGTGAAGACATCAGATGACGTATTGCATTGGGCAAATCTGCTGCAAAAGACCTCTTTCAAGTGCTGAAGAGCAAGGATGTCTCCTTAAAGACTAAGGTGTGCCTAACCCAAGCCATGGTATTTTCAATTGCCTTTTATGCATGTGAGAACTGGACAATAAATAAGGAAGACCAAAGAAGAGTTGATGCTTTTGAGTTGTGGTATTGGAGAAGAATGCTAAGATTACCATGGTCTGCTAAAAGAACTAACAAATCTGCCCTGGAAGAAGTACAGCTGAAACCTCCTTGGAAGTGAGAACAGCCAGGCTTCGTCTCATCTACTTGGTCATGTTGTTAGAAGGAACCATTCCCTGGAGAATGACATCATGCTTGATAAAGTAGATGGTCAACAAAGTAGGGGAAGGCCTTCAACGAGATGAATTCACACAGTGGTTGTGGTGATGGGCTCAGGTATAGCAAGAATCGTGAGGCTGGCACAGGACCGGGCAGTGTTTCATTCTCATAGGGTCACTATGAGTCGGAGATGACTCGACGACACCAAGCAACAACAACAACAACAAAAACTGGTAGTCAGAGACATCTTTACAGATAAATATTTGAATATATCCATGAGTATTTCTCTAGGATAAGTTTTAAAAGTGGGTTTTTTAGGCAAATGCAACCACTTATATATCTTCAAAAACAAAAGCCTTAATTTAGATACTTAAAAAAAAATTCAGAAATCCATGTGGTCTTTGAATTTTATTTGATAGATTAGTAATTCTGAAAACAAAATCCAATTTTCTTAGTCTTTTATTTCCAAATTTATAATATTTTACTATAATACTACCTTTGGGAGCTCTGGTGGCATAGTGCCTAAGGCATTTGACTGCTAACCAGAAGGCTGGCAGTTCAAACCCACCAGCCGCTCCTCGGAAGGAAGATTGGGCAATCTACTTCCATAGAGATACCACCTCAGAAACCCAAGAAGTGGTTGCTATGAGTTGAACTGACATGATGACTGTGAGTAATACTACCTATGGAAAAAAACTATTATAGAAATTCTTTTGTAAATTATTTTTTATATGTTTTGCTTTTAAAAGTTCAGCCTTCTTCTCTGAGATTACCAAAGGGAAGTGTTAATAAATTAAGTCAAGCAGCCTAAATGTGAGAAGTAAGTTGTGGTAGTTCCGTTTGTGTGTCAACTTGGCTGGGCCTGGTTGAGAGCTGGGCAGCTGGATACAGTATTCCCCATGATGAGACTGGTAATCAACTCCATAGTGGAATCTACTGGAAGCAGCTGAGTAGCTGCTTTAGGGATATGGTCTACTTCTTGTATATAAGGAGAAACCTTGGGAATGGTCTCTAGTTTAAGGCACGTTGAAACCCTGCATGTGGCCGTGTCAGCAGCCTGTTTTGCTCTGCCGACTTTGGGACTTTCAGTTGACTTGAATTAATGGCCTGCCCTGTGGTTTGGTAACATCGGGGCTATGTCTTTTTACTTGTCAACCTTGGGCTTGTCAGTCTCAGCAGCCAGCAGCTGTCTGAATGAAGAAAAGCCTCTAGCTTCAGTGGGTTGGGAGCAGGAGGCAGAGCAGAAGGCCAAGGTTGAGGGGCTTTCAGCCAGCCTCTAGAGCTTGGCACTTTCAACTTGTACTGAAAGCCTTTAAACTGTAAGAGAATAAACTCCTGTTTATTCAAGCCATCCCATTTGTGGTATATTCTTGTCAGAGCAGCATTAAGTAACCAGAACATAAGGTATTAGGATTATGAGGTGGTAAAGCTGTGGGACTTTGGGCAAATTATTTATCCTAAGTTTTAGCTTTTCTCTGTCAAAAAGAGTTAATGATAATAACTGCCTGGGAATTCATTCTTCTCTTTTCTTTACCATCTTTGGGCTGCCCTTGTTGAGCTCTTGTTTTTCCCACTTTTTTGTGGGTGCCAAAGGTCAGGGTCCCACTATCCAATATTGTATGTGTTGGATCTTTGCTTATTAAAAATCAGAGAATCTTGAAAGTAATATACTTTAATTTTTAAAAATTAATTTTAATTTTATTTTAAAATATCACTCAATTTGGACAGTGCATGAATTTGGATAGGTATTCCTCCACTTATTTTTGAAGCATTTCACTGGTACTTAATTGATTTTCCTCCAACAGGAAAAGTGCCTCGGAAGAAAGATTGGGCAATCTACTTTTGTAGTGACACTGCCTCGGAAACCCAAGGAGGGGTCACTATGAGTTGGATCCGACTCAACAGCAATGAGGTTTTTTTTTTTTTTAATGTCATGCATATTGTCATGGCTGGTTTATAATTTATGAATATTCATTTAAAATATGACCTGATCTTAAAAAGTCTTACTTTACTTCTCTGAGGAGGTCAATAGAGGTTCGGTGGTAGAATTCTCACCTTTCATGTGAGGATCTAGATACTATTCTGGCTGATACAACCTCATGCACAGCTACCACCCATCTGTTATTGAGGTTTTCATGTTGCTATGATGCTAAACAGGTTTCACTGGAGCTTACGAACTAAGATAGAATCGCAAGGAAATGTCTACTCCCTAGCTGGACAATCTATTTCCACAAAATCAGCGAGTGAAAAAAAAGCCCTGTGCATCACAGTGTTCTGTTCTGCAGCGATCATGGGATGGCGCAGGACAGGGTGACATTTTGTCACATTGTGCATGGGTTGCCACGAGTTGGAGGTTGACTCCACAGCGACTAACAACAGCCACTCCTCTGAAATCCATACAAAGTTGTTTATATTCCTAGTTATTATTTTAAATCAAATAATAAATAACCATATGAAAGAAATTTCTAATAAAATGATACCATTTTATATTGAAAAATGTGTAATCTTTTTCTCAATTAGAATTCTGAGATGTGGTACAAGCGTCACAGTATTGCTATTGGAGAGGTGCCCACCTGCCGTCTCATCCACCGCAGACAGCTGACAGAGGCCAATATAGAAGAGATATGGAAGTCTATGACGTTATCACAGTATGTGCATTGGTTTCTACTTTTTATATTGATATCGATGAGAACTTTCAGTGAGTCTTTTTTTGTTCTTTTTTTTGCTTCTCTACTACTCTCTGCATGTTTAATTTTTTGGAATTCTGTATAAAAAATTCGACATTCAACTTTTGATTGTATGATTTATAGCTATGCTGCTTTGTTGTTGTTATTTGCTGTCGAGCCGGACCCGACTCATAGCGACCCCTCCTTGAGTTTCCGAGGCGGTATCACTGCGGAAGTAGATTGCCCAACCTTCATTCCGAGGAGTGGCTGGTGGGTTTGAACTGCGAGCCTTCTGGTTAGCAGTCAAGTACCTTAAGTACTATGCTACTAGTAGCAAAACCAATTTAACAGAATTGTAGGAATTGTCTATTGTCATTTATATAATAGTTAAAAACAGGAATTTAAAAGCTTTTAAGAAATCTTAAACTTAATGAGACTCATGGAAAGTCTGGTTTCCTATATATTTGATGTACTTCAGGTAAAGGAGCTCTGGTAGCATAGTGGCTAAGGCACTTGACTGCTAACCAGAAGGCTGGTGGTTCAAACCCACGAGCCACTCCTCGGAAGGAAGGTTGGGCAATCTACTTCTGCAGTGATACTGCCTTGGAAACCCAAGGCGGGGTCTCTATGAGTCGGGTCCGACTCGATGGCACATAACAACAACACAGGTAAAGTTTTTTTACTCATAAAAATGTACTTGTAGCAGTTTCTCATCATTGAATAAATCAGCTTTTGTTATTTATAATATTTTTACATATAAAATTATTTCCTTGTTACTCAGGATATTGGGTTATTAAAATTAGTGAAGGACTATACTAATGGTGAAGGGTATCTTTTAAGTTCGTTTTTGTCATACTCAATTTTTAATCGTTTTGCGCCACAAAGACAGTGGGTAATACATGAAAATAATGCATTCAAAAGGTTGATCTTTTGCAGTACCAGTTGTTGTTTTTTTGATAAAAATGATTTTTTAAAAGTAGCTAATTTATTATTTATTTTTATAGTTTACAGAAAATCCTTGGCCTGCACTCCTTAGAAGAAGTTTTAGACAGCAAACTTATCAACTCCAAGTTCATCATCCATAATGTATATAGTGTTAGCAAGCAGGGAGTTGTTATCCTTGATGACAAGTCAAGTAAGTGCATTAAATCATTTTATTCTGGTTTGACCCAATGCTGACTGCATGAGTCCATCAGCTTTTGTTCAATCCTTGCCTAAACTCTAGTTTTTATTTTCTTTAAATAAAAAGCACTCCCTCATTACATATATCTTCCTCTCATTTAATACTTTTTAAAATTATTTGGATTAAGGAAATGTCATAGAAGAATGAGTGTTCAGGCACTTTAGCAAAATTCATCCAGGGGCTAGTTTAATGTTAGTAACATTGAGCATTAAACCAAAAACCAAACCAGTTCCTGTTGAGTCGATTCCAAGTCATGGTGACCGCACATGAGTCACAGTAGAACTGTGTTCCATAGGGTTGTCAAGGCCTCTGATCTTTTGGAAGTAGATTGCCAGGTCTTTCTTCTGAAGCACCTGTGGGCAGATCTGAACCAGCAACCTATAGTTTAGTAGCTGAGCACTTAACCATTTGTGTCACCCATGGATTCCTCACTGGACATTAGGTGCCACCATATTACCCCAGGAAGATCCTTGAAAAGTGAGTAAGTTTGAGAACTAACTGGGAGTTTGGTTAGTTTTCAGGTGAGTCCTGGATCTGATTGAATTAAGTAATTGTTTACCTTTTCATTATGGTATCTCTATGTCAAATTTTCTGGGATTATCTTGATTTATGTCATTTTTTTCTCTTAAATAATTTAAAATTATTTTTTTCTTTTAATAAATGTAGCTTTTTAAATGACAAAGAAATTTTAATTTTTTATACCTTTTCATCTAAGCTGGTATACAAATCAGAAAAGAGGAAATGTTTTGGCAGCCACCTCTCCTGGCTTTTGATTTGGAAAAATATGGTCATGGTACCTATCCTGTTTTTGTTGTGCACTGTCAGGTTAATTCTGACTCACTGTGACTATATATGACAGAGTAGAACTACTCCATAGGATTTCCTAGGCGGTAATCTTTTTTTTTTTTTTTTAAACAACTGTATATTGTGATTTGGGTGAAAGTTTTCAGAGAATATTCATTTTTCATTCAACAGTTCATACACATTTTGTTTTGTGACATTGATTGAAATCTCCACAGTGTAACAGTTCTCTTCCCACTTCTTCCCTGTGATTACCTTTTCCCTGCGTCCTTTTTTCCTTTGCATTCCTACCTTCTGAGCTTTCTCCCTGTGCAAATGCTGCTCTTTTGATTTCCCATGGTTGATTGTTCTAAGGAGTGAACTTAGCTGGTGTAATTGGTCACCTGGTAGGCATGTGTACAGTTTGGCTGAAAGTTAAGCGATGGGACTGAGTTCAATTCTAGACAAGAAGTGTGACTAGGGGCCATGGTCTCAGGGATCTCACTAGTCTTTATCAGACTAGGAAACCTGGCCTTTTTTATGATTTTGAGTTTTGGTCCACATTTTTTCCCCCACTATATCCAGGATCTCTAATTCTGATTGCTTTGTGAGTTGTTGGCATTGGGGGGCAGGCACCATCTAGTTCATGTGGTCTCAGGGTCATGTACACTGAGGTTCCCATGGTCTACTGGTCCCTTGGTGTAATTGTTTCCATGTGTCTTTGATTTTCTTCACTCCTCTGTGCTCCAGAAAAATAGAGACCAATAGTTGCATCTTAGATGGGCGCTTGCAAGCTTTTAAGATCCCAGTCATCAAAGTAGGATGTAGAATAGTGTTTTTGTGTACTATATTATTCTAGTTGACCTTATTTTCCTGTCATATTTGAGGGGCAGTTTTGCTGGGTATATGTATGATTGCCTAAGGCACTTGACTGCTAACCAGAAGGCTGGTGGTTCAAACCCACCAACCACTCCTCGGAAGGAAGATGAGGCAATCTACTTCCGTAGTTATACTGCCTAAGAAACCCAAGGAGGGGTCACTATGAGTCGGGTCCAACTTGATGACATGTAACAACAACAACAACAACATGTATGATTCTTGGTTAACATTTTTTTTTCTTTCAGGGTCTTACATATGTCATCCTATTGCCTTCTTGCCTGCATGGTTTCTGCTAAGAAATCAGAGCTTATTCTTACTGGTTTCCCTTTTTAGGTAACGTTTTGTTTTGTTCCCTGCTGCTTTCAGTGTTCTTTGTCTTTGGTTTTGGAAAGTTTTATTATGGTATGTCTTGGTGATTTTCTTATGGGATCTGCCCTATTTGGGGTTCGTTGAACTTTTTGGATGTATATCTTCCCATCTTTCATCATATTAAGGAAGTTCTCATTCATCAAATAGTCAACAGTTTTTTCTAGGATTTATTTATCTCTTCTCATTTTGGAATTCTGATTGCATGTAAGTTATTACTATTGATGGTGTCCCACATAAATCTTAGGCTTTCTTCATTTTTTTGTTCTTTTTACTCCTCGGAAGGAAGGTTGGACAATCCTACTTCCGTAGTGATACTGCCTTGGAAACCCAAGGAGGGGTCACTATGAGTCGGGGCCGACTCGATGGCACATAACAACAACAACAACATTCCTTAACACAGTAGTACTGAGAAATTTGTCTTCAATTTCACTAATTCTATCTTCCATTGATTTGATTCTGTTCCTTTGCCCTTTCAGTGTATTGTATATTCCTAAAATCTTAGTATTAATCTTCTGGATTTCTGTTTGCTGTTTTTGTATGGTTTCTAATTTTTTATTTATGTCTCAGATTGTTCTTATATTTTTTTCCTGAATTCTTTTAGAGTGTTGTCTGTGTTTTCCTTGATCTGTATCTTAATCTGCTGAAGTTATGTACATATAGTTCTTTGAATTCCTTATCAGGTAATTCCATTGCCACTTCTTCCTCAGGGTTTTTTTCTGGCTCTGTATTCTGGCCCCCTGTTTATATTACTTTATCTTGCTTCTTTGTGTGAACTAGGGTTATCACTTGTCTTGGAGACATTGTGATGTTGTTGTATTTTTATTTAATTGGTGATTGTATATTTTATGATTTGCCAGGTTTGTTTTTTTCCTCCTGCTTTATTTGTTTTTGACATATCCAAGTGAGTAGGGATGGTATGCTACTCTATTTGCTGCTTTGGCAGCACTTAGACACTTACCACCTGTTTCCTGGTGAATGGGATAGAGGATGAAAATGTGTGCACAGATCTCTGTAGCTGTCCATGTGGAGCAGTTGAGGGTGGGTTGGGCTGATATCAATCACTGTCTACTGTTGGTCATTTGGTACATAAGCAGGGGGTGGCCCTCACCCAGTGCATAGGGCTGCAGGATGTGTGGATGTGGTTGAGTCATGTGGGCACAGTTGCTTTCTGATCACCAGCCACCAGTGTGGTTGCCTGTGCAGTCCTCATCAAGTGGAGCAGATTATCAGGTTGATGACCAATCGCGCCACTACACTTGGTTTGTCTCATTATTTGCTTTTTTCATTCAGTTTCTTCTAATGTTGTTGTTGTTAGAAGTCGTCGAAGCAATGATGACTCACAGCTACCCTACGTACAACAAAACGAAATGTTGCATCGTCCTCACAAGACTTGCTGTATTTGAATCCGTCGTTGCAGTCACTGTGTCAGTCTATTTATCTCATTGAGGGTCTTCCCCTTTTTCTCTGACCCTCAACTTTACCAAGCATGATGCCCTCTTCCAGGGATTGGTTCCTTCTGCCAACATGACCAAAGTAGGTGAGACAAAATCTGGTTGTTCTCGCTTCTAAGGAGCATTCCAGTTGCATTTCTTCCAGGATAGATTTATTCACTCTTCTGGCAGTCCATGTTATTTTCAGTATTCTTCGCCACATCACAATTGAAATGGATCAATTCTCTGGTCTTCCTTATTCATTGTCTAGTTCTTACATGCATATGAGGTGATAAAAAATACCATGGCTTGGGTTAGGGGCACCTTAGTCTTCAAAGTGACATCTTTGCTCTTCAACACTTTAAAGAGGTCTTTTGCAGCAGATTTTCCTTGTGCAATATTATGTATGATTTCTTAATTTTTTTCCTTCTAAATACATTTTATTGAAATATAATTTATGTACAGTGACATACACAAAACTAAAGTGACATGATCAATGCATCTTTTTGTTTGTTTGCAATATTCCCTCTCCTCCCCTCCCACCTCTGGTAACCAACAAAGAAAGTTTTCTTCCATATATAAATATTTCCTTGACTTTTCATAATAGTGAACTAATACAATTTTTGTCCTTCTCTGATTGACTTATTTCACTTAGCATAACGTCCTCCAAATTCATCCATGTTATTTGGTGTTTTGCAGATTCTACATTATTCTTTAGAGTTGCATAGTATTCCATTGTTTGTTTGTACCATAGTTTGGTTATCCATTCTTCTATTAATAGGCATGTAGATTGTTTTCATCTTTTTGCTATTGTAAATAGTGCTGCAATGAACATGGGTGTGCATATATCTGTTCTTGTCTTGGCTCTCACTTCTTTAGGATATATACGTAATAATGGGATTGCTGGGTCAAATGGTATTTCTAATTCCAGCTTTTTAAGGAATCACCATACTGTTTTCCACAGTGGTTGTATCATATAACAGTCCCACCAGCAGTGTATGAAAGTCCCAATCTCTCCGCATCCTTGCCTGCATTTATTATTTTTTGTCTTGTTGAACTTTGCCATTAGTGCTGAGGTGTGATGATATCTCATTGTTGATTTGATTTGCATATCTGTGATGGCTAATGATCGTGAGCATTTCTTCATGTATTTGCTGGCCTCCTGAATATACTCTTTGGTGAAGTGTCCATTCATATCTTCTGCTCATCTTCTAATTGGATTGTTAATCTTTTTGTTGTTGATATGTTGGAGTTTTCTATAAATTCTAGAGATAAGTCCCTTGTCAGATATGTAATTATCGACAAGTATAAATTTGTTGCTGTCATTTTTTTACGTGCTTTGTCGTGGTGTTTCTGATTTCTTTGTTCCTTATAATTTTCTGTGCTGAGCTCATTTTGTTTATGAAATGTGTTATCACTTCCTTCATTGCTATTGTTTTAGTATTTGCTAAATACTTGTGCTGGTCCTTTTTTAAATTTTTATGTAAAGGTTTA